TCTGCCTGTGTCCAGTTTCTGTGTCCAGGCTGTGAGCCTTTGGCTCTGAAGGTTATTCTGGTGTGTGGAGTCTTGGCAATGGCTAAGTGGCCCTCTGATCTGCAGTGAGCATTTCTTGCAGGTTCACATCCCAGCCTGAAGGGGGAGACACAGGACCATGTGTTTAACTCAAGACACTAAAAACATCTTGTAAGATTGCAAAGGAATAATAGATTCCATACTGAAAAGAGAAGAAGATTTTAAGAAAAATCAGGCCCATCTACCTCATTAACCTGCTAGTAATTCATCCCAGTACAGGCAGTTCCTGATTTACGGGCTCTTATTTTGTGGATTAATCTGTGTCCTCTGGTTTGTGTTTCACTGCTGATCCAACGGCGCCTAGAGGGCTGACTTTGTGAAAATCTCCTCTGCTCAGCGTTGAAAAGGCCCTTCTGTTACTTTCTCTGCGAAGGCAGAAGTGGACGCTATGTGGAATTTAATTTAAAACAGAACAAGAAGCACTACTTTACACAGAGGGAGGTGGGAGTGTGGAACAAGCTGCTTAACCATATTGTTGAGGCTGAGACCCCTGCTGCTGTGAAGACACAGCCGGATCAGACCCCCTGATCGATTACCGGCTCACCGACAGATGGGCTGAACGTTTCCGACTGTCCTTTTCTCCTTATCCCTCCTTCTCTCTTGTTTTGGTTGACAGAGTCCACCGCTCCACTGCCTCCCGAGTCCCTAACCTCAGCCCTGGCCACAGGGCCTCCAGTGCCCCCCCAGCCGTGAGGGGGGGAGAGAGAGGGGTGGAGGGGGGGCTGAGGGGAGAGAGAGGGGGCGTGAGAGCGAGAGACCCGTCCCAGTGAGGCCACCGACTGAAGGGGTGCCCAGTCTCTGCTGCTGACCTGTCCCCCTGCTCCCTGCGAGCCCCCCCCACCTCCGGCTGGAGAGGCAGAACGACGCCGAGGCCAGACGAGCTCCCTAAACGCTGGACAAGTGCCGATGAGCGAACCTCTGAAGGCAGTGACCGAGGGGAGTGGAGACGCTCTTTTGTTTTCTGTTTGGAACGCCTCGCTGACGTCCTCCTCCCACCCCTCCGCCCCCCACGTCCCACGACATGAAGGAAGACCTGGGGCAGCCTGTGCTGACCGTCCAGTTTGGACCGGAACCGGGCCGCTCCGGCGCCACATCCCCAGAGCTCTCTCGGCCAGGCCTGTCATCTCCAGAGACTGTCGAATCCAGCCGGCTGGATCCCCAGAGATTTCTGGGGTGTGGACCCTCCCCCCACCCCCATCCCAACCCAACCCTATTTCCCCATATCTGTCGGTCAGCACCGTCGGCAGCCCCTGACCGCAGTAGGGGTCAGAGGTCGCTGCGGGCAGGAAACACACCTGGCACCTGCGCACATCCGCAAGGTGTGAGGGGGGAGTGAACTGCACTAGATAACAAAAAGAAAGAGCGAGACGATCTTTTTTTTTTGTTTTGGTGGTATGCACAAAGGGTTTAAACTTCAGAAGCGACTGGACATCGTATGTTCCTGGACATTTGCAGTTCGGTAGGAACAGAAGAAGACTGTGGAAGTGGGATGAAAAACATTAAGTTTACATTTTAATCATTTAAACCCCTTATGTGCATCAGAAAGTGTTTAAAACACATGTATACACCCATATCTATGTATGTGTGAGTGTATAATATGGACTCCTTTAACCTGAAGAAGCACTTAGAAGTTTTTTATACATGTTGCTATTGTTGCAAGTATTATTGTTAATATTGATGTCATTGTTAGTGTTCCTGTGCTATGGTCCTGTCCTTAGGTGAAGTAGCTGATTCTTTATTGTGCTCTGAAAAGCTTGTCAGCAGTGTGGCAGGATGGGAAGGGCAGTTGTGATTAGATGCGTCAGTTCCTTTTTGCTGTGTCGTCTCAGTGCTCCCAGGGGTCACTGGGAGCCTCTACTAGATCCGGGTCAGAGGGCAGCTGTGAGCAGTGATTTCCCCCTCCTCCCTGAGCAGGCTGTGGCGTTACTCCCTGCCCCCCCATTGCGGGGGGCTGCTTTTTTGACTGAGCCCCCCAAAGGGGTTCTGTCTGTCTGCCTCGTCACATTTCAGTAGTGTGGGTGTTTGTCACAGGCCCTAACCCAGTGCCCAGGCAGTGTGGACAGACAGGGTGGACAAGCCCTAACCCAGTGTCCAGGCAGTGTTGACACACGTGGTGGACAAGCCCTAACCCAGTGTCCAGGCAGTGTGTCCGGACCGGGTTAGGGCTTTTCTGCCCTGTGTCCTGTCATTGTGGACGGATGGGGCAGACAAGCTCTGACCCAGTGTTCAGAGCAGAGTATCCAGTGTTAAGGTAACGGAGTCCCTCCAGACGTGTGGGCAGTGAAGAAACAGCCCACCGGCCCGCCCTGCCCTCTCTGCCTGCTCCAGAAGGACGTGACACTGGGCACCAAACATAGTGGTTTACTTTTTACTGTAAGTGACCTTTTATACTTCGACTGCTCGTTTATAATTACTGTTACATTGCTCTTGCTGTTATTGTTTAATTCTGTGGATCTGTTTGTGTCTGTCCAGATATATATATATTCCCAAATATCTCTTCTGTCTCCACTTCCGTAGTGTTCCGATGCTCTTGTGTAGGTCTGACCTTTCACCTCTGACCTGCAGCCCAGCCCAGCCCTCTCACAGGATCTGCAGTCAGACCAGTGTCCGCTCCGTCTCAGCCTCCGAAGTGACGACCTTGATCTAACTGACAGTTTCCTGTCCCGGGACGCGTCAGATGTTTTATTCTTTTCCTTTTCCCTGTTGATGCTGTCCAGGGTGCGAATTTAGGGGCTCACTCTCACACGCCAGGCACGCAGCACACCTTAGCAGTATTCCAGAATTCGGGATAGCGAGGCAGCCACAGGCGTCTCAATCGAAGTGTTCCTGAGTTTTTGTGCAAGGGAGAGTAAGGGGGGTCTGCGCGGTATCGCCGAGGATGCTGGGAAGCAGTAGGACTGTGCTTCTGTTGTTCAGGTGCATCTGCTCTGGTGTGAAGCTCAGTGCAGGTGTGCTTATATACAGAAATAAGGTTTAAAAAAATCAAACAGCAAACTTGACAAAAATATGTGCAAAGCAGAAAAGTTATTTACAATGAAAAAAAACTGAGAAACTCAGTATAAAGTCAGTTTAAAGTCACCCTGTGTCCTGTGTTGTTTGAATCTGACTATGTGTGTTTAACACAGGGCTGTCCAGTCCTGGTCCTGG